AGCTTGAGTTCACCTGAAAAGATCGTACGGGCACCTGACCTCATGAATTCTATTAATTATATTGGAAACTTGTTGGAAGGGATACTCTGCATAATCTTACTGTACCCCAACAGATGTGAGATTAGTGAGGCTTAGTTCCCCCTACCCAAATCTATGGCTTTTAAAGCAAAGAGCTTCAAAAGAGGAAGAGATAAGAAATAAAGGGCAAGAGCATATACCTCCTTTGCTATCTCCTGCATTGTCTACACTGGAAGTTAAGAGAAATATCAGTTCAAAGCTTCTCTGTAACAATGCTGAGACAAACATCATACCACTGGTTTTTTTTGCTCTAAGTAGAATCCATGGCCCTCCAACTGATGGTTAATCAGCTCTTTCACAAGGAGAACAGAGAATGAGTCATTCTGTTTCCACTCAAAGGAGTTTAAAGGTGCTTATGTAAATATCATAATTAATCAGATACTAAAGGCAGGCATTTCATTATTTAGCACCTCTGCCACAGCCTTATTTAAGCCCTACGATTTTAACATTTACTGTTCAGATATGCACACTTCTCCTTCAACACTACAACAAAGCAGATTAATTTAGCCTCTCTGATTGCTGTTTATTTTTAGTTAGGACTTGTTTTGTGCTGACAAACCACTTTAAAGTTACAGTCGTCGTTCAGCCCCCCGCCCCCCCCAACTCTTTCCTCCACTTGGCAGTCGCAACTCGCCCTGGGCTAGGTGCTAACATCCGCACCCGCACGTCTCTCCCTCCTAATGAAGGAGCCATCCTGCGCCAGCCCACCCCTCTGCCCTGCAGACACCCACCACGAGAAATAAAGGCGGGAGAGGAAAAGAAAAATGAAGGAGGGAAGGGGGAGAGCTGTCTTCACCAGCCTGGCCGTCGCCTCACCTGATGTAGTCGTTTCTGCAGAGAATCATCCCGCTCTTGGTGTAGCAGGAGGTGCCGATGTCCCCCAGCTGGGCCTGGCAGCAGGAGCACTTGAGGCAGCGGCTGTGCCAGTAGCTGTCCATGGCGTAGAGCAGGAAGCGGTCGGCGATCTTCCCCCCGCAGCCGGCGCACCTCTTCCAGGAGAGGGAGCCCGCCGAGACCGGGGGCGGCTGCGCGCTGCCGCCGGGGTTCACCATGGCCTGCGCGGAGAGAGGGGCGGGTCAGGGCCGGGCCGGGCCGAGCGGGGCCAGCGCCGAGCGGGCCGGGCCGGGCCGGGCCGGGCGGGGCCAGCGCCGAGCGGGCCGGGCCGGGCCGGGCCGGGCGGGGCCAGCGCCGAGCGGGCCGGGCCGGGCCGGGCCGGGCGGGGCCGAGCCGGGCCGGGCCGGGCGGGGCCGAGCCGAGCCGGGCCGGGCCGGGCCGGGCCGCGGGCAGGGGCGCGGCCGCGCAGCTGGCGGGAGCGGCGGGCGCGGGGCGAGCGCAGCCGCCGCCCCCCCGCTCCGGGCTTGTGCAGCTGCAGCTCACAAGTCAGGAACAGTCCCGGGGTTTGTTTTGCTTATGAAAAAAAGTGTGTGAAGAGTGGAGGGGGAGAAAAAAAAAGTTGTGAAACTGGTTTTTCAGTCTAGGAGAGGCTCTGCAGGCTCGGGGCGGTAACGAGGGGCTCGGACTGGCCCTCGAGGCCTTGAGATTTTATTTTCTGTAGTTTAATTTTGGAGAACTAGAAACACCCCGATAAAACACTCCAGATTGAGGACACTGGCCCGAATAATAGATCATTGAACTTTAGGACGCCTGTTAACTTCCTACACAAACATACTCAACTTTTGTCTCGCTAATCTGCCCTTGATCAGCAGTTTAAATGCTAAAGCTTTGTTACTAAAAAAAAAAAAAAAAAAAGAAAAAAAAAAAGTTTACCGACCCTAGGAAAGCAGTAGAGTAATGAAGTGCATCGCTCCGGCTGCGGTTACTCCGGCCGCCCCCGAAACTGCTTCTAAGGGCATTTTTCACTTTCTAATAAATGCTTTATGCAAGCAGGACAACCCAGAGATAATATAGGAATCAATTCATAAAGCTTACTCTAAACCGATTAATTTGTTGCCTTCAATCCAGGGTCCAATAAACTCCCGGTGCTCCTCTAGTCACTTATACTATAAAAAGATCAAGTTATTTACTGCCAATTAAGCAGCATGTTTTGTCTTTGTCCTTTGTAAGCCGTATGTGCTCATGCCGAGGCATCTGGCTATCTGCTAAGGACCTTCAGACTGATACGTCCAGAGCAGCGAGGACGAACTTTTCCTGACACTGGCCCAACTCGGCTGCAGGAGGAGAACTGAGGCCGATTTAAACACACATTTCCTCAGAAAGAGTACCTGGAGGTATGTCCAGTGACCGCACAATAAACCAGGAGAACTGCACCAATTAAGCTGTAACAAAAACCCCGAGACTTTGGAAAGAAAACCACTCTAAAAGCCATTAGCATTGCATTTATCCGAACGCATCGTGTACCTTTATGTAAATTGATTTCTGATGCATTTGTTCAAGGAATTGCCTTTTGTTACAGTTTCCAGCTACAGCCTAATGAATCTGCATTTCCTGCTCCGAGTCTTTAAACCGTTTTCCTATGCTTTAAATCACTTCGGATTTCTTAAAAGAAAGAAAAAGGCTCCATGCCACCACCTTAACCTGTCTTTGTCGAAGACAAATATGTATAAATATAAAATGGGAAACGTTACACTGAGAAAACCATCCAGTAACCCCATTAAGCTAAAGCTCTTAAGGACAAGCAATACCTTAATGCTGATTAAATCTAAAAAGATGAATCAAGAGGACTGACCAGAAAGTGACTCCCTTGATAACTAAGGACGGGCCCTCATCAAGTTTCATTTAGAGTTGGGGGGGGGGAAAGCTTTTAACTTAAATAGGCTTACTCTAGTAATTACAGAGCCAAGCAATTTTGGTCCTGGGATAGGAGTCAGTGAAATAGAAAGCAGAGCTAGAAGCTAGAGGCAAAATACCCCCCTTTTAACAGCGTCTCTGGCGCTTTTTTAATGGAGACCAAGGGAGGGACAAGCGGAGAGCTGGAAATTTGTAGCACAAAAATGGATGCTTAATTCACGTCTTGGTTTTAATTAGGTGATTCACCGATTTTCTCCTGGACTGAAACAAAAGACTGTGTGTGGGGCAGGAAGAGAACCGGAGAGGAGAGAAATAGAGAGCTCACTTTGATCTTTTCTGCCACTGTTTCAGAACAGTGTTTACTACAGGGGAAGCGGGTGCCCCAGCCTCCCCCCACCCACCACCTCCCCCCCGTCCCCTCCATTCACAGCCGAGGCAGGGAGAGCCCTTTCCCGGCGGCAGCTGGGAAGGGGGGCAAGGGAAGGCGCTCCGGCGGCGGCCGCCAGGCTTTGTACGGGGGCCGCGACAATGCCCGGGGGCCGCGGCGCCCCGCTCCGCACCCCTCCGCCCGGCGGGCAGCGGGACGGCGGCGGCGGGCACCGCGCACACGAACGCTGCGAGACACGGGAGCGACCGGCACTTCTTACCTGCTTCCCCTCTATATTGCAAAAGGCCGGGGAGCGCCGCTCGGGGTGCCTGAGGAGGTCTTCTCGCAAAGAAATAAGCACAGCGCTCGCCCTCTCGCCGGCTGGAGGGAGCCCTCCGCCCGGCAAGGGGCAGCCCAGGCTGGAAAAATATAGATATTGCTATGAGAGGCGTCTGCCCGGGTCCTTCCTCCAGCTCCCGCTTCCCGGGAGGGGAGCTGCAGAGCTCGGTCCCCGCCGCTGAGCCGCACACGCAGGGCGCCGCCGCCGCTCGATGCTGCAATCGCCGGGCAAGTTTGGCAATGTGGCTTCACTTTGTGCCGCTTCCCCCCGCTCCCCCACCTCCGCCCCCTCTCCGGGCTGCGGCGGCTCCCGAGCCTCCCGCGGCGCGGAGCCGGCCGGCCGCGGCCCGCCGGAGCGCCTCGGCGGAGCGGGCGGGAGCCAGCGAGTTTGAGCGGGGCCGGGCGCGGAGCTGCTGCCGGGATCCTGCGGCGGCGGCGCTGGCGGGGCGCGGGGGCGGCCCTTGTGCCCGTCTAAGCGTGAGGCTGCAAGTGCGTGTGTGCCCGCACGGTGCGCGTGTGCCCGCTGCCCTCACACATGTGTTACTGACAGAGCAGAATCCCAACTACACTCCGGCTCGGCGCGCTCGTCAGCCCGCCGCAGCCAATCCGCCCCCGGCTTGTTCAGGCGGAATAATAAAACCTGCCAATCCCCGGGAAGACAAAGGAATGAGTGAGAGGGGAGGAAAAAAAAAAAAAAAAAAAAAAAAAAAAAAAAAAAAAAAAAAAAAAAAAAAAAAAAAAAAAAAAAAAAGAGAGAGAGAGGAAGGGAGGGGGCGAAGAGGAGGAGGAGGGGAATGGAGAGGAAGGAGGGAGTCAGGTGGGCAGCGCTGGCCGCGCCGTCCGCCCGGCGCTGAGGGGAGGCGCGCGGCCGTGAGGGCAGCGTCCATCCCGCCTCGCCCCGCCCGCCAGCTCCCGCCCGCCAGTTGAGAAACTTGGCGGCGAGGGGTCAGCCCGGCTGTCCCCGAGGGCAGGCCCGCTCCGCCCGGGGAGCGATGTCCGTCGGAGCCCTTCCCGGCCGCGGGGCGCTTCCCCCGCCACCGCGGCCCTGCCGGGCTGGGGAGGCGCCGAGGGGAGGCGCGGCCGCAGCAGCCGCTGCTTGCCGCCTTCGTGGCGCCCCCCGCTGCCGCGTCCGGCCCCGGTGCCCGAGCCCTGTGCTGGGATCCCGCGCTGGGGCGGGAGAGGCGGCGACGAGCCGTGCCCGGCTCGCCCGGCGGGCAGAGGGGCCGCGTCGAGCCGCCGAGTGTCACACGTTCCTGCGGGAGCTGCGCTGCGGGACTCGGGCGGGCACGGCCCGCGGTGGCCGCCCCAGCGGAGGGTTCAGTGGGTTAAGCAGCCGCGGTCGGCGGCACCGCTCGTCAGCAGGGCAGACAGTTGCAGTTCTCAGGGAGAAGCCCTCGGATGCCCCCAGATTTGCCGGGGATGACGGCAAATCCGAAGAAGTAATGTTCAGTGGAGACGCTTAAAACGATGAAAAACCCACTACGTATTAACTGCGTGCCTGTGAGGCCTAAGTGCAGCACACAGGATAAGCACAGCCGCGAATCGCTGGGGCACACCCCGGAATAACAAAGTGCTCCGAAATGCGGGCGCTGTCCGCGGCGCCGCTCCGTGCCCGGCACAGGGGACTCGCACGCCGCTGTCACCCGCGCACGGCCGCGCTCCGTTCGCGGCGGCGGAGCCCCCGCAGTGGCACATTGCCGGCATCTGCTAAAGGACAGAGAAACTTCGTAGCAGTTTCTCGATTCCAGACCGCTGACGTAAGCAGCAGCCAATGCAGCGCTCGCCGGACGGCAGCAGCGCCCGGGCCCCGCTCGGTGGGAGCCGCGGGCAGGGCAGGGCGGCCCCGTTCGCTGCCTCGTCGAGTACGCGGTGATGGCAGCGTGACCGAGCTACGAGTTCATGAGCCCCCGCGATGTCCGAGACAACAAAATTAAACCTGCCCCTGCCAGCGGCTCCCGTAGACGCGGTGCCCCGCACAGGTACAGGGAACTTCCCGGGAGCCCCTCTGAGGAGCGAGCGGCCGGCGCAGGAGCGCTGCCCGCCCGCCCGGGGACAGGCCGGCGCCGAGCCCGGCCGGCGGGCGCAGCCCAGGTGTGCGTTGGCCACATCGCCACCTGCGGGTCTCCCGCCGCCCTGCAGCCCGGCCCGGCTGGGCACGGAGCCCGGCGCCAGCAGTCACTTAGAATTGGAAGGAAAATCGCCTACCTGGGAGAAATGTACTTGGGAAAGCGCAGGATAGCGAAGATACATTTTGATTCTAAATATATAGAAAATAAAATATCGACATTTGAATGGCACCACAGGTATGATTTAAACACGGGAGAAAATTCTATTTCTATGTTTCTCCATAGACTGGGATATGTTGAGAGTCTGCTTAAAGCAGACTTGGGGAACTCATGGAAAGCTTCCACAGGGAAAGGGGAGAGGACCAGTGTTATGGTTAAATTTTTTTAGCATAGGTCTATGAAATATATCATCTGGATGTAATCTCCATGTACATATTACATTTAAACGTACTCAGCAGTTTTAGATTTGTTATGTAGGATCTGGTACAATTTAAAATATATAAAGCAACAAGGCATGCTACAGATAATCAACAATCACTGATATTTTAGCTCTCTGACAGTTAAGAGCACAAGAACAGAGCAAATGCCAAGCTCAAATAAAATCTACACTGTCTAATTATCTAAGCCTGTAATGGCTGGAAGCTACCAAATTCAGACTCTGGGAGAGCCATTAGGACCTCTCCTCATTGGAAAAGATATTCTACCAAGAAACTCTGCCATAGGCACTAAAATGTTTACTAGTCTTAAAAATGAGAGTGATACAAAAAACAGGAATTACCTTCTCAAGGAGCAGAGTTCTAAATGGCTTAATGATGTCTTTCAAATTGCATTACAATGTTCATATCTTTTTCTGAAATCTGATCATCACTAATTTTTGTGATTAATTTTAACAGAGGAAACCTTAACTGAGAGCATTTTGCAGAGCAATATTTTTCTAATTTTTCTTTTGTGCAGCATCTGCTGTTGCTGTGCTGTCATCTTCGTTATGTTTTTCATTGTCTATGTGCCATAATGTAATTAGTTAGTTCAACATCATCTGTGCTATTAGATGAGATGTTTCTATGGTAAGTTAACATAGTTCTGTGTAATTGGTAGATTTCAGCAGTAGGCATGAATGTATCCATCAACTTTAGGTCGATTTGAGTCCACAAGATTTAAATTCACTTGGCATACGTTATCCTAGAAGACTGTTAATTTTGGCTGAATGGATAAAAAACACAATGCAGAAGAAAATCTGGCTGCTTATATTGCGGTACTGTTGGAGTCAGGGAAGGGAAAGCATAAAATTGCTGGCTTAGTAGTTGCAATCTGAATGTCTGGAAAATGTTACAGCCTGGAATCCAAATAATTCTTAAACCTAGATGTTCCCCTAAGATATCAGGTAGTCCAGAATTCATCAGAGTTATCTCTCCATTCAGGAAAAGAGTCTTGGTTCTCTCCCTAAATACTGCATTCTTATGGGACCTCTAGGTTCTCTTCCTGAGTAGTGCATACCTAAGGGACTTTTTTTCCTTTCCTCATTAGGGAGAAATGTTGAGGCTGCTTCCTTGAGATCTTCCATGTGGCACTTTGCTCATCCATGTGTCTTGCAACTACACCTTTTGAACAAACAAACTTCTAAAACAAACCCTCTGACCCCAGTCTGTCCAGAAACAACAATGAAAAATCAACAGCCATTCCTTATTTTAAAGTAATGCATCCTTTTACTCACATAGGATCTTCTGGTTCAGGCCTCAATCAATTTAAAAATGTGACTGGATTAAGTATTTAAGTCGGATATCCAGTGATATGTCAGAGTCACATCCTGGCAGAAGCTGGGAAGAATCCTGGATGAATTCACTCTTAGCATTCTTTTCTGAGCAGTAGACAGTACTGTTTGCCCAAAAGACTAAGATAAGTTATGTTTAGAAATATGTGTATAGATTTTAACTTGCTTATAAATACATGAGTGACTTTATTTACAGGAACCCATAACCATGGGAGGTAATTAGTAAACACAGTTTGCTTAGGTAAGGGCTTGCAAGACCCTTTTATCGTCACTGTATCTATAACTTAGGACAGGAGCCAAATAATATAAATGTCAGTAATTCCATATATATATTTATATTAACAATGAAGTCCACTTTTGCAAGAGCTAAGGCTGTATTTGTAATGACGTCATCTGGCTGAAATTACGTTCACCAATTTGTACTGAGCACACTTCTCTCATGAGAAATTGATGCATTACCACAAGCCAGCAGTAGCAGCAAGTCCTGCACAAGTGGGTTCTGTGACTACAGGCAAGATATCAGACTTTGAATTTACATATAATTTTTGTTTAAAATTGAAACTCTTGAAAGGCCTCTAGAATATGTGTATGTAATAACAAGTTCACTACATTAAAAAAAATTGGACATGCTATGTGAATTTTGAAAGAGCGCTTTACATTCCACAGTCTATAGTATTTTTTAGGCAAATCAGTTAACATTGATTTGCTACTCTTAAACATATACTGACAATTGATTTTGTGGTGACATACCTGTAGTCAAGTGATATTTTGTCTCAAATATTAATATTTTTGATTCATATGATTCCATCTTTAACAGGGAAAAAAAAGTCCTTTGACAAATACCTAATATAAACTCCTATAGAACTTACCATTTGGGGTAAAAGAATGTTTTCTTCACAGATACTTTTATAGGACTGGCATTAATATGTTGCCTCTTTTCACTAGTCACTGTAACAAATGGAAGGGTGGGACAGCACAATTTGGTGCTGTTTGGAAGGCCCAAATTATAGGTAAAAGTAGTCACCATGCTAATTTAAATTGACACTACAAAAAAGATCAACTGGAAAGGAATTAAAAAAAAAAAAAATCTGACTCAATCAGCTGACCAAAATGCACTTACCTAATGCAGAGGTACACATTTATAACAGTATCATTTACACAATGTGTTGCAATGAAAAATGAAAACTTAAATCTAGCTTTTATTATCTAATTAATTAGCCAAGTAACTTTAAATATGCAGAAAAAAAAATAAATAGTATATTTTCCCTGAGTGAATAAATAGCATGTTTAGTATTTTTTCATGGTGTTATCCACACAAAATACCTTTATGATTGCACTGAAATTATTTTTAAAGATGTGTGTCCAGTAGCAAATCCTGTGTAATTAGAATATCTGAGTGTTTCCGGGAAATTAATTATTTACATGTAGCTCATTGCAATGGAGAAGTA